GGGCCCTGCCCGGGGTACCCCGGGCAAGTAAAAAAGTAAATGGAATTTTTTATTTTGTTTTTTGGCCTGCGGGGGTCTTCTGAGCATGCAGAGAGGAACCCCAAATTCAGGATCCTTTCTTTTTGAGTGTTGGCTCTGAACGGGGGGTAAGGGTGGTATAAATTGGCTTCAAGGGGCCAAGGGGGTTAAATGGGGGTGCCTTGATCAAATTTTGTTATTTTCTTTTTTTATCTTTTCTTTAGTGAGGAATTCCGATGTGACCTTCAGCCAAAAGTTGTCTGCATTGCAAATCTACACAACATTTTGTTTTTCCAGAATAAAATTGAAGTATTTACACTTTTTTTTTTTTTTTTGTGCTGGGGTTGCCCGGAACCCAGCTCGGGGGTCATGCCCAGCCAGACAACTGGGCATGAATCCGGGTAGAAGTTGGGTGCCCGGGCGCCTGGAAAAACAACCTAGAAAAAAAGCAACAAAGAAAAAAGCACACAGTTATGATGAGTATTAAAAATGGGCTACAGCCTACAAGTTACAACTTGACAAGCATACCAAATTAGGCTACCAGCGGGGGCGCCCGGGTCCCGGGTGGCCAGCCCGTGCAAGGACCAGAGAAGGTCCAAGCAGAAAGGGGAAAAAAAAAAAAAAAAAAAAAACCGAAAAAAACCTATCTGCCCACTTTTATCGAACCTAAAATCCCGCACCTAAAATCCCGAACCTACCTGCCCACTGCGCGCCACTATTTTCCGAGCCTTCTGCGTGAGGGTACCTGCAGTGGGAATTTCGGAAGTGGCACTGGTGCCGGCCGTCTGCCTGAAGGGAAAAAAGAAAACAAAAGAAAAGAAAGGAACAAACATGCCAGAGAGCAATGATGTAGTGAAAGGACGTCGTGGAGGCCGTACACAAATGATCGCTTCCCTGAATGCATCTGAGGGAAACGTTGCTGTTTTTCCTTTTTTTCTCGTTTTGTTTTTCGCTTCCTGCCCTGCCGGCAAGGCAGGGCATATTCCTCTTGCTCAAAACGACCTGGCTGAGGGCATACTCACACTAGGGACGTTCCTTTTTTTCTCGTTTTGTTTTTTGCTT